GTGTTTCAATTGTTTCTTTCACTGGCTGCACTTCTCGTTCGTTGTATCGTATCATGTCACACATTTGGAGGCTTATCCACAACTACCTCCCAGGCAATGCATCACTGAAAACTATGATTACTAAGGTGAAATACTAACAAACTCATTTTCATTAAGTGATGGCAGGAGGGGCCCTCTCTGGTGGCACAATAGGTTAAAAAGCACAGCACAGCAGCATAATCCCAGCCAGGTAGGTGACCTGACTGCTCGTCCTCAGCAGTGTATTTCAGTACATCTGCCTATTCTGCTCCCCACTCTATCTCTGGTGCATCCTCTCTGGCCTATAACCCAATTCTTGTATAAATCAATCTTAAAAAAAAAAAACAAAAAAAACTTATGCTTCAGTGGGAGACAAAAATGAGACACACAGCTGGGAAAACACACTCAAGGCTGACCAAAAGCACTAATGGAATGAGAACTGGGATTCAAATGTCAGGTGAATGGGCAGCAATCCACGATTAGTTCTAGAATGAATGTCTTGTGTTCCCACACTTCTGAATTTCAAACCAGTGAAACAAATTAACCACCACAAACTGGTTGTTTTGAGAGCCGAGATGGGTACTTTATGAAATGTTGACAAGAACCCACATAGCTTAACTGATTCAGTAAAAGCTAAGAAAAAATGAGGACACACAGAACACCTTTGCCAAAGTGACCTGTCACATACAAACCTCCCCTCATGTGTCCTTGAGGCCTCCCACCTTCAAGCCACCCCACCACCCACGGTGCTGTTGTCAAACAAGGATAAAAGCACTGCTTGACACTATTAAGAATTAAACAGCGTCTATACAAACACCTGATCTTTAAAAGGCAGTTTGAGTTCTTCAGATTGTTAAAGCTCAAATACATGTATCATGAGAGGGAACATGGTCACTTACCCAAGTGCAAATCATTCATGCCAGGTTGTATTAGTATTCAATTAGCTTTTATAGTTAGAAAGGTAACTTAGAGGAGCATACCCAGCACTTTTATATGCAACTGAATCTTGTCTCCTTCAATGCAGTTGCCTTAAGGTAACAGTATCTCTATTCTTAGAGACCCATTGCCCACCACTGCTGCAGTCTTTAGAATCCTCTTCAAAAGCTTTAACTTACATTTCTTTCAAGTATCCTTAGTAGTAGTGTATCTTCATCTCTGTGGGTGTATCTGATATTTTTGAACAGCAACAAATCATTTGGAGCCAAGTCTAGTGGACAAGGTAAGTAATCAAGATGGGTAAAAAAAATCTAAGGTAGAACTTAACATAACAAACTTTTTAAAGACTTAGTATCTCCAAATACTGGTAAAAATACTATGTGAGGCCCTCCCTGGTGGCACAGCGGGTTAAAGCACTGCACTAGGAAGTTTAAGCCACTTCCGCCATGAGTTCGATCCCTGCCTGCCCCAGAGGAGATCCACATGGCGTGGCAGACCTCTCCTGACCCGCCCGCTGCTCCCCTCAGCAGTGTACTTC